TAAAAATACAATACATTCCGATGTTTATTTGTGTCGTATCGCACTGTCACTTTGTTTTCGTATCGTCGCGATGTCGATTCGCGCTGTTGTGTGTCGACCCTGCAAATACGGCTGCGACATTATCAACCGACACGCGATTATCTCAAATGACGCTCAACAATGCGAAGCGACGTTGTCGTATCGTATATCGCGTGTTACAGTTTTGTTTGAGGGTCCACGCGCCAATTTTTCTATGTATATGTGCAAAATATTGGTGTTTGTTAACCCATTACTTCATAGAGACGTCTTTGCACGCCTTTTGCACCCCAGCCCCTTTGAGACCACACGTAGTGTAAATGACCTATTTTCGTTTGAGAGTTGTTGTTTAAAGAAGTGATTGCCTTTCGCCGGTCCTAATGATATTCTTTCACAAACAATTATGTGTTATACTTCTCTGTGTTGTATATATATTCCGTTAAAGTGTAATAGTTATTCATATCCAGTATTTATTTAAAATTTATTCAACACAACATCTGTTAAAGTCATTCTGCAATTTATTATTTATGAAGTCACAGAATTATATTTATTAATACATTTAGTAAAGTCAACTTTAACATAGATATACCTCAACATGCAATTAGACATACTATAAGCTATTTTTGAATTTTTAAAATACCAATATATGACCAGACATTAAAGTCTATAAGTAGACATTAAAATGGAAATTAGGTGTACAAAGTACATGCTAATTTATAGAAATTTAAAGATGTTTTCAACATCCGATGATAAGGAACTTGTTTTCCGTCTTTAAAATATATATATTCCATCTTTGCAGAATATACAAAAGTTCAACATCAATTCGGAAACGAATGCATTATATAGATGATACTTTAAAATACTATCAATTTTCTTATTGGCGACGCCGGTGAGCGGCGTTGTCTCTTATGGAATGCTTTTTATTTTGGCCTATGGAAGGAGCTGTTATTATTAGCAGTTAATGGCATGTTGTGTTAATTAGTCTTATTTTGATTCGTAAAAGTCAAGTAAACAAATATGTTGTTATATTTGTATTTAATAACTTTATGTAAAAAGCATGTGCATTGTGATATTATTTTCACGAAATTGCTGGTTAAGTTTAACAGCATGTCCCTTAGTTTTATTGACAATACTAAAACCCGGATTTCGAATATCTTTGTGGTCTACATTGATGCCGTATCCATTCATTTATATATTTTCAAAATTTTCCTACAAGAAGAAAGTCTACCTGCAAATGATTATAAGGATAGATAATGGAACTGTTGTAAACGATTATCCTATTGATTTTATCCTTATTACGTTTATACGTTGCGCAGAATGGTTGTTTTTACAAAGTGTACCAGTATCCGGATGTTGAAAGCTATCCGATTTTCTGCAATTACTGCTGTCACATAGCCATCTATTTTAAAAAGAATACTTTACCAGTAATTTGCATGGCTTAATAAAACTGAGCCTGCAACATTTCATAATTTTGCTGTTTAGGGTGTTCTTTTTGGGTTTCAGGTTTTCTCTTTTTTAAGGGAAGTAATTCATGTTTACTAAATTATTTGTTCTTTTCTATCTATCTTAGGTATTACTTATAATACTATTTTTGTTGTATAAAATTTACCAGTTGTAAGGTCATCAAAAGCATAAAAGCATGTTAATGTTAATGTTAGGATTTCATATTTATTTAATAGAAACTGGGAATTATTAATGTTATGTGCATACATGTATATCTTAGTATATTAATATGATGAGACTTATAATATTTCTGAATTTAAAGAGTTACAGTTATGTCATTATTATTAAAGGGATGAGACTTTCATTTAAAGTTATAAATGATAGTACATGTATTGATTGAAAATGTCCTTAAACTTGGATCAAGCTATTAATTAATAAAGTCTCAAAAAATCATACTCTGGATAGTTATTCTAATTTTTTTTCTAACATGTGCATAGTTTGAAAAGGACAACTTCTGTCTTATCTATTTGTAATGGAGGGACACCGGTCTCAACCTCCAGGTCTCCTGGGTCAACCCGACAACAGACTTTACTGAAACCCCAGTCACACTAGAGCTTACGATTACTTGCGACCACCGGCAACTTGTTAAACTGACGATCATCAGCGATTGTCTGCGACCAAAACCATTTTTGCACAAATAAATTTACTTTTGCTAGAATCGTAAGACAAGTCATCATTGACAATCGCACAACAGGTCATAAGTAAGCGTACGATGGTCTCAAAATTGCCTGGGATTACCTTCGACTACCCGTGACATAACATGCGATCACCTACAACTTGTCGTACGACCATCACACGATTACTAAAGACTACTTAAGATTATCAGTGACTAGTTGCAATTTGTAAAGACTGTCGTAAGATTGTCGCACTTCCGAACGACCATCGTGCGACAGCCTTAAGACCTTATAAGATCACTAGCGACCTGTTTGATCGCAAGGAGGTTTTTGTGCAAGCTCAAAAACCTCTCTACGACTGAAATTGGTCGTGGAACCTAAATAAGATAACCTGCGACTGTCAAAGATCACCGATGACCGTCGTAAGACGTTTTAAAGATTGTCCGCGACCAGAGGTCACTGGTGATCGTGAACTGGTCTTCACTGGTCGTAAGCTCAAATGTGACTGGGGCTATAGAGTAGACTGTTACTTGCCTGGCGCCAGATGAAAACATGAAAATACAATCTACCAAAAAGTGGTTCGTTTGTTGCATTTTCATGTTTTTGCCCGGTGCCCTTGATGCAAAATACAAATCAGCCTTCATAAAATTTCTTATCATAGAAAAAAGGTTAGTTTTTTATCTGTACAAAAATAGATATTGTACATATTGTACATGTAGTAGCACAGTTATGATCATTTTCAAATTGACCTGTTATAAATAATGGCACAACCAGTAACTGTCTAAGCCCTTTTTAGTAAAAAATAATTATACAATAATGTATAAATTGTTATTTTAAATAAGACTATGAGTATGTAAGCATTTTTCCTTATTCATTAATTAAGAATTAATAATCTGTTAATTTAAAAATCTAAAAGTATATGTCACGGTTAAGAACTGTTCACTATTTAGGGATAAAAATATGTAAGCGGCCAGATAGCTTAATCGCTACAGCTGCGGTACATTATTCTGTGGGTCACAGGTTCGAGTTCTGGTCAAGCTCAAAGTTTTTCTCATCCTGTGACTGCATATAAGCATGAGTTCAATTCACTATGCTCTGTAAACATAAGAAATTCAAGGACACAAATCAATATAGTGGGGAAATATGTTGTGGTTTAGATATGTTTCATTATTAAAGAGAAAATGTGTAGCCGGCCGGATAGCTCAGTGGGTCTTCTGAAAGTCATTGGTTCGAGTCATGGTCAGGCAGTTTCAGTCAGGGTTTAGAAGTGGTTTTTCAACTGACACATGTTTGATTCATTTAACAGATTGCATTACATTTGAATTGGACAAAGGCAGTATTGCATGATACTTTTAGATCTACAAAGGGCATTTCATACAGTTGATCGAACTATACTGCACATGAAGAAGTTCTTTTTCTTCTTCTTCATGAAACTTCAAGCATCTGCCATATGTAATGACATTCTTATATGGTTTAAGTCTTATCTCTGATAGACAGCAGCTGGTGGATGTGGCTGGTACTCATTCTACTACTGCTCTGAGTACCTATGGTGTCCCGCTGATGTTCATTTTAGGTCCTCTTTTATGTCTAATATATGTCAATGACAAGTCTGCGACCCTAAGCAATAAGCTTTTGTTATATGCACAGGCACGAGTATCAGACCTGGGAAGGAAAAATATGACCAGATTGTTAAAAAAACCTGTGTTCATCTCAAAAGTGTCAAAAACCAAAATAAAATGTAAATAATGAGCCCCTTTAAAAATATACTTTAAGTTAATAGTATATTTTTAAAGGGGGTCATTATTTACATTTTTTTTTTTTTGGTTTTTATGAACACAGTTTGTTTTTTTATAATTTTTGGTCATATTTTTCTTTCCAGGTTGTGATTATATGCTGATGACTCAGGAATCATTGTCTGGTAAAATAAATCTGAAGAAATTCTTTCTTATAGTATTAGTCTCATAAGATTAGTTAATTGACTATAAATTGTCTTTGCATCTTGGCAAGACAGAGTCTATTCTTTTTGGTTTAAGTTTCAACTTAAACTGGGCCTAGCCTCCAGGTCACATGTAATGGTACTGTTATAAAGTACACATCTTTTGTTAAGTATTTAGGTGCAAATCTGGATCAAATTCTTTTGGTGTCGCCCTTTGATGCTTTGCATCAATGCTTTTCATGTTCAACAATTAAATGTAGCATCACAAATCATCAAACATAATGCAATTAACAACACATGAAACGCTATACCGGATACCGTAGTGGCACATAAAATCATGATGAAGAAAATCATTCTTGCTGATTCGAGGTACCGATATACTCACCAAGTATGGTGCGGGTTTCCTCGGGGTTGGTCCACCATGTGTGATGAAGGGTTTACTGGTGGACTTGGGGAGGTAGGGTTTCTTTTCCATTATATTCTATAACATTTAAAACATTTCTGTGTCGCACATTACTCAGTTGTGAAATAGTCCGTTTAATCTTTCAATAATTGTTCATTTTCAGTATTTATTTAAAAATCCTTTAGTTATTATAAACACAACTCAGTAAGTCCATTTTTCCGTTTTTATTTTTAGAGTTTGTTTATTTTTTCATCTCTATAACCATAATTCCAACTGGTTGAAAACAAAAATATATATACATTTAATTGTACCGCAGAAAAATGCGGCACCAAAGCTTCAACTTAAACAATAAGATGTTTTCTGTCTGACTTGCTGAATAGTTCTATCTCAAAAAGTTCTGTAATTCTGTAGGAATAATAAGAATAATTAACTAGGGTTTTAATTTTTTAACCCAAAAAAATACCTTTTAAAACCCAAAATAATATACCCCCAAATTTCCCAAAAAACATTTTTTCAGTTTTGAAAATTATCGAATGGTTCGATTTAGACTGATTAACACTCTAGATGTCAGAAGCCAGCGGCATGCTAATTCCTTTCTTTAAGTCAAACAGAGCATTAGATAAAAAATTAAGGAAAACTTTAAATAAATGTCTTAGATAAAATTAGTGATAATAATCATGTTGTCATACATATGATGTAAATAAACATAAATGTGTCAGACCCGTAAATTGCAATAAACATGTCAGCGGTCTGGCTAATTGATAATTTACATATTTCTGATATTTCAATAATTAAAAAAACTTTTCATAACGTAAACAAGAAAATATAATAAATTTACGAAAAGTATTTCGAAAGAATCAAGTGAAAAAAACAGCATCACATCATGAATGCATGTTAATTTAACGAGACAGTAAATTACACATATAATATATAACATTATTCTACAATAATAAGGTTAAAACATTAAAGAAGTAATCAATAGATTTTCAATCGATCTCTATTTAGCAAATATATGTTAAGTTTATTGTCAACCTCTCGATATAAACAACAACTTTCATCATTATTTTCATATGTCATTTTCACTTCATACACTTCATACAGTTTTACACTGTTTGTTTGTTGTATCAATCTATGATAACACTTAGCGCTGTAGCTAAAGCTATAAATTCCTGGTAGTTTTACTGTGCATTTGTTTCCGTTTCGTAATTTATTGATCTATTTTGTAATCTTTTACTTGAGATCTAATAGTGAATTATTTAATTTTTCGACTTGCAATTTTTCAAATTTCTGTTGATTAACAATATATATCTTAATATATTATATCTTTGTCAAATTTGTACTAATGTTTAAGTTTTCGCCCTAGTATCTGTAACTTTAGGGAACACATCTGTTTCAACTGGTGTCAGATTTACTTAGTCCTATATTGTTTGTGTTTACATGTATTAATAGGTTGACTCTTTGAAATCTCTTATTTTAATTCACTTAATCTTTTTTGACAGATTTGTATGCTCGTTTCAGTTTCAATTTATAGCTTTTAGAAGGCAAATCGTTAAGATGGTAAAAATATAGTAATTGTTTCAGATTATCAAACATGTTTTCTAGCTTGGAACAGTTTTTGTAAAGCGATAGTTTCTCCCCCTGAAAAATAAGAAGAATTGTAAAAGATCTAATTAACGTTTTTTTCATTATTTCACCATGTGACTTGACGTGGTGCATAAACTTCATCCAAAAAGATAACAAATATATGTGTTTCTTTCTAATGGATTTTGATTCGTTTGTTATATGTCGTTTATTTTAAATAATTAACTAAACTGATGATAATAATATTGTTTTAAAAGCTGAAAATAAATGTTTTTACTTTATTTTTTTTACAATATATTCTATGTAATGAAAAAATCTGCCATAGTCTTAAAATTATTTACGAGGTTATATATAGAGAGTAGTCACAGACAGTCCTTAATCTGAAATCAGTCTTAAGACCAAACTAAGACAATTTTACGATAAAAAGAAAATGTCCTAATTTATGATTTACTAAATTATGATTCTTTTAATTTCTGAATTATAGCAATCCTGATTAACATTTACACATTGCGAATAAAATGTGATTGTATTTCATATTTTCTCAGGAGAATACATTAATTTTATTTATAGCATACAGTATTTAAATGAAGTTAAAAATATTTATTGAAACTGTCTTAAGTTAGATTTAAAGTTGATTTTTATGTCCTAAGACTTAAGGACTTTCAATGAAGCGCAACCCTAATGCATAATGTTAATGCAATTTATGAGAATATAATGGAATTTTAAAGGCAAATTGTATCATGACACATATATTTGGATGTAAACATTTTAAAATATACAAATGAATGTCAACAGACAAGTGAATTCTGACAAATACATGAATAAAATAATAAACAAACCAATAACTCTAAACAATGAATTCATTCTTTTAAAGTTTATTTAAAATTTACAATCTAAATCAAAACTAAAAATGACTTACCTGTCGCTGAATGATGAAACACCTGCGTCCCTTATCGGTGACGAACCACAATTTCTGCAGATTTTTTTAAATATTTAATTTAGAAAAGGTATAAATTATACTATATGCTTAGATTTATTAAATTTTTAAGGCTATATCCTGCAAGGCAAATTTGATAATTTTTCTAGTAATTATGGCCAAATCGTTTAAGGAAATATTTTTGTTAACATTTTGCTTGTTATGCAGCAATGTGTTATATACCTTAAATAGAGACTTACGATTTGGAATGGAGCTGGATTGACTCTATATTTCAAAAGAAGTGACTGACAAAATGTTCATTAACCTACAGTTAATATTAGAAAAATGTGAAGGATAAAATATTGATATGTCTAAAATATAAAAAAAAATCTAAACGACTCTATAGTCTTTCTTTAATATATACCTGCACGGATCCGGAAATGCAAATAAGAAATGTTCCAGATGGATTGTGTTGAAGATTCCTGCAAGAAAGAAAGGAGTCACGATTATAGAAAATATTTCAACCTGAGCTAACTGAATAGCATAAGATAGTACACAATTGTATATGTGTAGGTGTGACAATGAATCTAATTTATCACTGGGGAAAAATAACAGTTTAAGGTATAAAGCAAAGTCCGCTATTACATAATGCTCTAGATGATAAATTTCTAGTGACATTATATTACCGCAATTTTAAAATATCAATAAATTTAGCATTATGAACTACTACAAATATTAACAGTGTTAGAATATTGGCATTAAAGAATACTTTTTAACGTCTTCCTCTCTTTCGCAAAGATATTCTTCTTCTCGTAAGATCTGTAATATGATTTTATCATAGATTTTTGTTATCTATTTTTTAAATTGCAAAATATAATCTCTACATAAAGTTTTTAAAAGTATTTTTAGGTTTTTAATTGTTGTCAGATCATTAAATATTAGGAAAATGTAAGATAACAAAATTATTTTCAGTGTAAAAGATATAATTATACAAAGCCCTAAGAATAACACTAATGAAAATATGTGTATTTCTGATTGTGTCACATATATTTTATCTGACTTACAATCTTATTTTCATCATGTGCACCCTCATCTGGGCTTTCATACGTGACACTATCCGTACTACTACCAGAACTAGATGTACTATCGGTACTGCTATTACTGCCTCTTTTTGTTTCGTTTTCATTTACAGATACTTTATTTTGATCTTTGTTTTCGAAAAACTTGATGTTCTCATATGTATTAATCCCCTCGTCATCTATGCGTATGTCGAACTTCAATATGTGTGGTGCCTTTTCTGTTTTCGTAGTATCTGCCGATTTATTTTGTTTTGAATAAGACGTAGACGCCTGATGGAAATGTATGTCACCATTGTCCTTGGGTAACACTGATGTTTCTGCCGTATTTCTTTCGTCGTGTTTGTTACAAATACAATTCGATGATTCCACACCTTCATCTTTAATACTTCGTACAGAAGACGGCGGAACTCGGTCTTTTTTGCCAAATTTAAATGAAGGACTTGGCGGGTATTTCTGACATTGAGGCAAAGATGTATGTTTGCGTAATGGTACTTTATTTTCAGTATGTGTGCTACCCTGGAATGATTTTGTGAGCTCTTGTATCATAGCATGATTTGCCTTTTTGTCGCCTTCAGATGCTCCTAAAAAATGTGAATCAGAATCAAGTTTACTTTGTCCAACTGAAACAAAAGAATCTGAGCAACCTGCAACACTCATGAATGTTGATGAAACGCTGTCTGTCATTGTACTCTCCAAATCTGTATTGCCATCAATAAATTTCGGAAGTGTATTCTCATCTTGAGCTAGAAAGAGGTTGAAAGAATTAAAAGTTCCGTATTCAACACAAGTTTTTTTTTTTGAGCTTGTATTGACAGAGTTAAAAATGATAATACAAAATAATGTTTTCCATTTAATTTAGTAGAATTGGCATTAAAGAATCTTGATAATGTGTAAAATGTGATTATACATATTTAAAAAACAACAACATAATTTCCAAAAATTATTTACTTTTTAACATATTTTTACCTAAAAGCAGTTTGACAATTTAAACAAAAAAGAAAATAACAAGTGCATTTGGACTTTTATAACCAACTTTCATAATTATAGCTCATAAAAGAAAGATTGTAATACAATAGATCATTTAGTAATATTTGGTAAAAACACATATGACATCAAACCACGACTGCATATTACATAATCAGATATAACATTCTATACTGAGCAGATAATAAATTGTCCTAAATGACAAATCACGTAAATGTAAATATAAATCACTTTAAAACTTAATTGACACTTTCTTCTTAAAAAAAATATTTTATTAGAATATTCTTGTGATAAATTCTCCTATTGTAGACCAACCGATTTTTATATTTTCTTGAGAAATTATCAATGTTTAGTACTGTTTAATATTATCATTATATTACTTAGCAGGACATCCTCGGGAATTACCTCAACAGCAAAAGACTAAGTCAGAAAAACGCAGATCTCGTTTGATAAACTGTTTAAAAATAGCACCATACAACTATAAAACGTAAGTGAACACCTAAAGTTCAGTTAACGATAATTATTCAAACAATTAGATATACAATATAACGTAGAAATGAAAGAGAAAACAAAGTTTGGTAGAGAGAACGAACTTTCTCAACAAAGCAACATTTCTCTTACCAAGTTCAAAACTTTCGTAGATATCAGAATTAGAGGGACTTGTCAACCGATCAGATCGTGCTTGAATATTTGGCTTAGTAGAATTGATTTTATGTTGGTTATGTACCATGGTTGCCATTGATTCAGAGCGTCCATTGCCTGCTGAAATAATAAAAAAGCTATCGAATGAACATTATCCTTTAATAATGAACATTTGTGTGACATGCATTAAAGTCTCTTCTGTGCATGTTGACACACAGTTCTTGGAATTCGATGCACTAATTTAACACTTATTTAGTATAAACAAGTTGCAATTTATAACATAACTGTTTCAATTTCTATATTTGTATTTTTTTTTTCTGAATGTACAAAATACAAATTACTAATTCTGTTTTAAAGGTTAGTTGTTTTCTTTAAAGCACTTTTATAGCGATCACCGAAAACACAATTACCAGTAATTACATATAAATGTATGAATCAAGAGACAAGCTCATGTATCGTACATTTCGTTTCTTGAACTGAAGAAGGGAGACTTTCTTTCACGCATGTTATATCGGTGTTTCTGTCACATTCCTCAGTGACAGTTGTGTCTTCGTCCTTTGCACTTCTTTTGTAATCTGAACACAGACATAACATTTGTAACTGTACTATGTCATAGAAATTTTTCACATTTTGCAACGATTGAGAACGATAAATCATTTCTGTGAAAGAATCTCGTGTATGTATAAATGTGTTGCGTTTGTAGTTCTCTAGATACTTTATTTCTATTTTGATAAGATAATATGATTCAGCTTGATACATTTAGCAACGATTTATCTATACAATATGAGCCGTGTCATGACAAAACCAACATAATGGGTTTGCTATCAGTTTCTCGACTTGTAAAAGGGTTGGTAAGCGAAAAGAATGGATCCTGATCAGACTGCGCGGATGCGCAGGCTGGTCTGGATCCATGCTGGTTGCAAACCCATTATGTTGGTTTGTCATGGCGCGGCTCATATGTCCTGGAAACGGGTAATTGACAACTGTTTCCTAGACACGACATTATTTAGAAAAATGTTACACACAATAATAATAATAATAATAATAATAATAATAAGGCAGAAACAAATATAAGGAATGTCTTCCAGCATGTGATTAAATACGGTTATTGTAAAATGATCATAACTGCACTGTCTCCATTGGTTTTCTGTCCCTTTAACTAAACTTTGTGTTTAATATAAGACTTCTTCCTTTCGTTCCAAATAACCGAAAATTATCTCTCTCTCTTTCAAACATATTTTATTCACTTCAAGATCAAGCATATCGGTTCCAATAGATAAATAAAAGATTTTATGGAGATTTTGTCCAGTGTGTCATACACAAACATTAATTGTACCAACAGAAAAGAAATCATCTATAATTTAATGGACCAATCATTTTGAGCACATCACTATTCCGGTGTCTGTATATGTGGTTAAGTTATGTTCTATGTAAGCCGTTTCTTTAGTTTCAAAGGGTGAACATATCATATATACCGCATCAAAAAACTGATTACCTTTGTTGTTGACAACTTTCACTTTGTTTCGATTTTGATCCTTCTCATTAGGAGATTTTGCCGCAGGCCTACGCAAGGCATCGTCTTCACCTAAGGTTAAAGCTTTCGATAGTTTATAGTTTCGAATTGATAAAAAAAAAACGAAGAAAAACGTTTAAACTCAATATTTCTTGCCTACAATAATTTAATGATCCTGTATGATTTGTGATTGATATATACCACTCTTACAATACGTTATAAATGTATATCATTATGCAAATAAAACAAGGTTATAACATCGGAAAATACATAAAATATGTACTAAAAATATTTGTGCACATTATATGTAATCAATAAATTATATGCATTCATTTCTTATTGGAAAATTTGACTTAGAATTTATAGAAAAAAAAACACTTAATTACCTCCCTTTATTTATATGAAATGTTAAATTCGGTAAGATCTTTACAAATAATGCTTATTTGAACTTACAATATTGTCAAATCTTAATTTGAGCATCATATTTATGAAATAAACCAGATGAAAATTGTGTTACAGGATCTTTAAAGATCATTCAGCACGACATTATTGTTGTGCTTGTGGTTATTTGGTTCTATTTAGTCTGCTATTTTCTTGCCGGGTGGTTCCAGTTTTCCTCACTTGAATACTGTTGAATCACCCTTAGAACATGAGGCCTGCTTTTTAAAATTTGTCTTCTGACGTCTTATCTTTGATATGTAGGCTTCATAACCTCTGATCCCCTTTCAAAATTCCATTTTATTTAATTTCGCCCATTGTTTTCTCGTTTAGGGCACACGCATTTTTTTACTTGGGGACCATATGCCGCTTTTCATGGAATGACATTTGCGTGTCACATTGAAGGTTCCACGATATCCGTCATATGAACACATCTGCGGATGTTTTAAAATTCAAAAGTGTATCAGTTCATGTTAAATTAATTCTGCTTAAGCCTGTGCTAGGGGGTGTGGACGGTAGTTTGCACTTAACAGTACCATCCATGAACAGGCTCGATCAAACCGAGCCTACAACATTTTCAATTGTGCCGTGTTGGGCTTTCTTTAAGGATTATTATTTTGTCTATTTTAAGAAGCACACCTTTATTAATTTAAAGTATATACTTTGAAAGCAAATAAAAATAGTATAAACCTTATACCTTTAACTTTATATACATATTTGAATTGTCGCATTATCGGCATTGTCACATGCAATGTATTTAGATTACATATAGTAAATCTTTAAAAGGATAAAAGACTGTGAAGTAGGGCTGGGAAATGATAATCCGCCCGATAGGTAGTATTCATTTCGGGGCCGATTGTCTATTTCGTGCCCGTCTTCATAACCTCTGATCCTCTTTCAAAATTTCATTTTATTTAGTTCCGCCCATTGTGTTCTGGTTTAGGGCACAGATATTTTTAACAAGGGACCATACGCTGCTTTTCATGAAATGGCACTAACGTGTCACATTGAAGGTTCCATGATAACCGCCGTATGAACATATCTGCGGATGTTTCTAAATTCAAAATTTCACCATTGTCATGTTTACATGTTGAATTCTGCCTAAGCCGGTGCTAGGGGGCGTGGGCGTTAGTTTGCACTTTACAGTACCGTCCATGAACAGGCTCAATCAAACCGAGTTTGCAACATTTAAAAATTGTCGTTTTGGACTTTCTTTCGGGATTCTTATTTTCTCTACACACTAGACAGATCTTATAGTAACGTTATTTTAGTAAATTCGATATACATTCTGTTGTTGAAATTACTGTCCCTGTGTTGTAAAGTGCTGTACCATATGCGTTTTGCTTCCCTTATATGGACACAAACTCCGCCAAAATCAAGAAGCAAGTTTTATTTGTCGGAATAAAATATTCAAATTTATTCATTTAATTTCAATTTAACTGTTTGAACAAATTAAGCTTAAGTTCAGTTAAGTTCTCATCATTTAAACAAGCGATCTGTGCTTAAAACTTACTTTAAATTTACAGCTATTTTCATGACATACATTGTGGTGTTATTGTTTAAGTTTTTGTCCTGGGCCGCAAACTCATAATCATTTACTTGTCACTCATATTCAGTTGAAATCATAGGCAATTTGTTACAATACACAGCATTATGAAAAGTGCATAAAAATAGTTGTTACAGTAAATCATTTTTGCTCATGTACAATGTGCTTTTGCAACCCTCAGCAGACATCAGTTATTTGAAGTTTCTTATCATAAAGCAGCACGCCTCCTAATTCATGCTTATTTTCATGAACATTTTGAAAATTAACTTAAAACATTACTTTCAAGCGAACAAAGAAAGTAATTAACGACATGTTTCCAACTTAATTGCAAAATATCGGTCAGAATATGCAAAATTACCCCTTACTACGTTACTAAAGCAGTAGAGATATGACAAAAGGTCTTTACCAGTGTTTACATATAATGACATCGGACCGACCTCATTCGAACAGGAAGGTACGTTATTGTCCCTACCATGCTCTTTTGTCTGTGCAAATGCTGGTCCAGCTGAAAAAAACATGAAATACTAGATCTAATAATATACGTCATATGTTGTGGTTCGGATCGGAATGTCCTTCCTAAGAGTTCTTTCTATTTGGCTTTTGCTTGCCGAGTTACCCAAGGGCTGATACCCGAGGAACAGATGTTCCTATCTGAACCGCATTCTATATATTGCCATACTCGAAATAAATCAATGTTCAGTTTTACGAGTGAACACGATAGCTTAACCACCCAAGAGCATATTACTCTATCTGAACATAAAAAAAGCACGACATAACATCATATTATTACAACTAAACACTATGATGTCAACACTTTCTTGTTCATTTACATGACTGAACATGTCAGTTGTTCCCAGCAGCATATTTTAACTCTGAATTGATTATAATCACGGTAACACACAACATTTGTGTTCACTACTGGACATAATGAGCTCTGCACCGCACATATATCATCTGAACTGAACATAATGATTGTACCAAGAAACAGTCCTTTTTAATAACTGAACATCACGACCTTTGCACCGAATAACACATTGAATTGACTGAAGAAGTTATAATCAGCACCCAAGATAAATATTAATAGTACCATTTAACAGTTCTATTTCACAACTGAACAGAAGAAAAAAGTACCCAACAGCATGTCATTGCAACTGAAATTAATGAAAGTATCACACAATATTAAACAACCTCAGCCAAACAAAATGATAGAACCACTGTTTATTTTCATCGTTTAACATAATGAGAAGAGCACAAAACAGCATATTATTATAACCGAACAAAATAACTGTACCATCCTACAACATATCTTTTTAACTCAACATAATATTGTTACCACATGCCTGTTTGTTTTAAGAACTGAACATAACGACTAATGCAATCGACAATATATTGACTTGGCTGAAGAAAATGTGATCAACACACAAGATAACACTTCAATAACTGAGCATATTGGGATTTAAACCCAGCATATTGTATCTCGGACTTAACAGAATGACATTTAACCTGGTATATCAGTCATTCTACACAAAAGACAATCCAGGCGTTCCATAGAAATGACGTCATCCTGAGAACACATTTTTATTCTTAAATGCGCTGAATAGACGCTATTTTAACGCGGCTCATTCATAGAATGTGCTTAAATGATAAAAAAATGCGCTTATAGAACATCGCTGAATAGCACTCGGCTGTCACCTTTCACCTTGGTGACACGTGCATGGGCGGCGAAATGCTACCGCATCGTTACCGATCCGAACCGCAACATATGACATATCTAATGAATCTTTTCTAAGATTCTGACAGTATTTCAGTCATGGCTGTTCGTTCTGAAAAATATCTCAAATTACCTAATATTAAGGTACGTGGAAAACATTGAGCAAGCATAGCAACATGGAAAATAAAGTGTTCAGCAGATGAAACATTGACATTAGTTATAAATCCGCTAAAAGATATTATACTGTTGTATTTACTATGGAAACATAGAAAGATATGTGCATAATTTTGCTGCAATTAAGTACATTCCGTGATATATACAAGAGGTGTCTGGTAAATTCATATAATACTTTAATTTATACTGTAAAATAAATTTTGTCTACAAATACATTCATATCTAGGACACACATTTACAAAAAACATTTTATATCATTTGTCTTTACATAAAACATATATACATCCATACAGATCAATTGACGTCTAGGAACTGTTGTATACGGTTACGCAAAAAAGGCTGATGCAGTTTAAAAGTAAAACTAAAGAGAAATAAATTCTATATACTTTTGTTAAATTTTCTATTTTGTCAGTTTTATAAAAGTGTAATGTTTTGAAATATACCTAACTTTGAAAGTTCTCTTACCATAAGAATAATTCAAGTCATTTGATTCCATTGTAGATGCCCGTTCTGATTCTTTCCAGTTACCTGAAAGACGGATTTGAATGTGGTACATTACCCCTCTATCTGTTCGATAATAAATGCCATGTTCATAATGGTAAAACATTAAAAATAAGTATGATCTGGAATTGGAATCTATTTTCTATTTAAATTTTATAAAAAAAATAAAAACCACTAGCAAAGTCAACATTGTTATACTTCTCCAATTTGTTTTCCAAATTTTATTTTAAAATTGTTTAGAGCTATTGTTAAAAGTTTATGAAGCTATATACATATATATTTTGTCTGTAATTTACAATATTTTGTTTGAATTAACGATGTACACGTTTGACCTAGCAGTTGGTCTAGTGTTAGGGCTTTCTGGATAATGTAAAGCATTGCGGTAAATATCTAATGAATCATATTCATTAGATAAATCTATAATGCATTTATTATAATCTTGGTGCAATCCAAAACTTACTGCTCGGGACGGATCCGCCGCTTCCATAGCCACTGTCGCTGTGTAAAGAAATAAATTAATTTCCTTGATAATATAAAAAAAACATTCTCCTACATAATTGTGTAAAATAGCTCTAAGGGAAATTTCAAAGTAAAAATCGCATAAATATCAACTTTATTTTCAATTTTAAAATTAACTTCTCTTCCAAAATCACTTCTCTGCTTCAATATACAAAGACGGTAGCGTCATTGAAGTTCGAGATGATTTTATAGACTAACTCGGAATTAAGAGTATTAATGTTTTCCCAGCTTATTCGAAGTTACAAACAAACTTTTAAAGTTAAAGCTTCGAAAATAAGTGTTACAGACTGACTAATCTGTAGAAACAGGTAGTGCATCTGTATGCAATTACGGTAAATTTTTTATGTACCTACGGATTAACTGGGGGGGGCCCAATTTGCCGAGACTCAGATAACATTACCCTGCTTAGGCTTTTGCATATCTTTTATTTACATATTGATATTTCTTGACTACAAAAAAGTAAATTGTTGCATATTAATAGATATTAATTAAACATGTTCAAAGGTTCTTCGGACAGGGAGATAAAACATTTAAACAAACTACTGTTGTCATATCCGAACAAGTAGGATAAAGGTTCATGAAAAAAAGAAACTGAATATAAGATATTAAAAACCTATTTACTAGATGTAGCAATATTATGAAATACTTACGCAGAGAACGGCTGACTTTCTTTATGTGCCTGTTTTAATTCCTTCAACCATAGCTATTATTTAAATAAAACATTTTGTATCAAGAAACTACTTGCACCACCAGTATTATTGCAAGCATCGTATCCATTTCTAGTACCCAACACACTTTGAACTATTCATATCATATGTTTAAGGTAGTACATAGATAAACAATTAGATGTACACTTTTTGTACTTATTCTGGTAACAAAATAGCATCTTTAACTTGTATTAACCAGATTTTGCAAATACTTGAAATCACTTGCCCCTCAACATTGTTGGTTTGAATTTGTATTCTTTCATGTGAGTAAGTTACCTAGCTAGCTTACGAAAAGTTCTGCCCAGGTGCCGCTCGTGCCTCGAATATTACACAAAGGGACACAAGGGATCTCCCGCCATCAGTTTAAATATGATAAACAAGATCAACAAGGAACAGCGGCTAGGAGCCATGGAGGACCCAAAACAAAAATAGGACAGGGCGCAAGGCAGAGCACGGACAGCATTATAGTGTGTGTGTGTGTGTGTGTGCGTGTGCGTGTGCGTGTGTGTGTGTGTGTGTGTGCGTGCGTGCGTGCGTGCGTGCGTGCGTGTGTGTGTGTGTGTATATATATATATATACTTAACAAATTACTTCCTGCAGAAAGTATCGTACCCTTCTATTTTTTGCAGTATCACATTTAAGTATCAGATCCGATGTCTTGTGATCACTGAATATCATCTTTATCCCCACAATGCCCTTGTTGTATTCATTGATGCTAAAGAATAAAATGTTAAAGTACAATGGCCGAAAATAAACAAGATATGAAATAAATGTAAATATATTGTTAAACATTAAATACCTGAATCCTAAAACTAACTAATAAAATACGATAAACACAAGGTATTCCGACTTTATTGAATACTGTACTCAATATCATAGTAAATATGTGTTCAACGTGGCAAATAGAAAAAATAAATCACGGAAAGTAAGTCCTCTGAAACAATGAAAAATCAGACTTGGTTTGATTGAGTTTGTCCATGGGAGAAAATATATATTCTCTTTACAAGTAAAAGTTAGGGAAAAAATTTGAAATATTGTTCTTCCAAACCAAATAGAAAGATAAGATATTTGGTGTGCACAGTGTCAAGCTAGACTGCGTCTACACAATTTTGTACAACTCATGACCCTTTGAATGGGATAAGATACATATCAAAAACAAACTTTCAATCACCGCGCCAGAATTAAATATAGCTTTGATAACTAAATATTCCTGCCAAGTGCCCAGATGCCCAACACTCATGTCTGAAATAATGTAAAAATACTACAGTCGTCATATGGCCGTAATAGTACCGGTTTGACTTAAAACTCAACCAAAAGAAACCTTCAATTTAGCTTTCTCAAATCAAGACAATTTAGAACCAGACCCGGGTTATATTGACTTCTGTTTTTAACTTACTTTAATCTTTCTTAACGAAACGCATAGATATTTGGCATGGAAGGTAATCTTATGGTCACATACAAAAATATATCGCCTTCGGTAGATTACAAGCTGTGTCTTGCATATAATCTGTTTACATATAGAAGATTTATAAGATTTCAAGTGAACAATTAAGCATATTATTTTAATTTAAACCCAGTTATGTTTTGTAAAATCATGCGTTAGAATCGCTGTCCTCCAATTACCACTGCCTTCCATAAATTACCTCATCAAAGTCTATCATGTGAAATATTTATTTTGTAGTAAAGTATTTGTAAAAATTAATGCCGTGCGATATAAAAATCTTTTACCTTTCTACTTCTCGCATCGATATCGACCACTCTTGTTTTCTTGCAAATTCTGTATCATAGCAATAAAAGTTCCATACACAGCCTTCCTTTCCTCCTTTTGAGATGATGAAATATTTCGAAATCCCTGTCAAAGAAAAAGTGAATATTGGTTTAAAAGACTTATGACTTTTACTATTCCAGTGTTTACATATAGTATTAAAATATTCTTTAGCTGACAATGAGTCATTAAAACATATTAGAGTTACTCTGATTACTTAACTAGAAATGCGGTAATGCCATATGGTTTGATATAATATGGACATTAGATATCCAAGCAAGGATGAAATGAAATGAAAGGAAGTTAGTATATTGTTGTCATTTTTTCAGCAGTTGTAATGTTCACAGTTAACAATTTGGTAATTATACCAAATATATCAGTAAATGCTTCTATTTCCATTTCTTTCACAATTGTTCAAAAACTAAAGTCTAAAGTGTCTTTTATCGTTATATATGAGAGACAATGAATTATATTGTTTATCTTACATTTTCTCCAGAATAGCATTCCTGTCCCTTCTGTTGATAAGGAACCGGTATGTTTGCAATCAAAAGTCTGTATCATCACATCAACACCTTGCATAAATATATATAACCATGGAATTTTCACTCACAAAAATTTTAAGTATATGTTTTACTGATTTGTGAAACCGCTTCACTTTCTTACAATCTCTTGACATTTTCTCAAAGTTGATTTTCTTGAGAAAATAATTGACTCATCTGTTGACATGAAGCTTTAATTCTTTAGTTAAAAAGTTTCCTATTATTTCAAATAATTTATGAATACAGATGTAAAAATGTAGCCTAACCGTGTCCAAGTCTTTAAGCTTTGTATTACATTGTACTATATATGAATTTTACAGCGAATCAACGTAACAATAATTTAGAAATGTATTATAAATCTATGTTTTACTTATATCTCCAGATACTCTTGTGTCCGCCATCACACCGTTATTTTATCTACTTCTTGCAGTGCACAACCTGAATAAAGTTTAAATACATTTTACTAATACATCTTCGTAAACTTACTTCAATTTTACAAATACTTCGATCCAAAAATGGATGGTAGCCGATGTAAATATTTCGAAATATAAGTTTATTGAACATTATAATGTTATATACGTTTGACCCATGTTTTGTACAAAATAAACAGCAGTAGATGTATAGGTTAGTTCTACCTATGGCTTGTGTTCCTTTTTGGTGTCAATTTGTTTTTACGAAAGAGATAATGGATAGATAAAGTATAAAGTATTTGTTACTTTTGAATATTTCACCATTGTTAAAAAATAAATCTACCTGTGTTATCTGAGATACCGCACTGTGCCTGTTACTGTGCATATAACAGATAAGGAACAGCAAAGACAAATATGATTTTATGATATGATTTTTTCATGTGTAAATTTCTCACAAATGAAAATAATTCATCGAAAAAGAAAATGAATGCTTTAAGAGAAAAGGTATAAAATATTTGTAGAAAATATGAAATTATCAAAATACATGGACATAGATTCAAAGGTATGAACATGTAAAACTTTAAGCAATGTATGTTAGGTATGGCATGTAAAACGTTTCAAAATTCAATAAATCTTTTTTGGTTTATACCCATATTCATATTGTATAAATCTAATTTTATATTGTTTAACATAACTTTTATTCAATCCTACTGAATATTTGTTCATCATAAAAATTTTTGTGTGCGATAATGTGTATGCGATAATGCATGTTCTATATTTGAAAATATATATCTTATAATAAAAAATATGTATTGTATCAACGCTTAAAAACATTTATTCGATAATTTTAATCAAGGGATAGAACACTTAGCATATGAAGCCCCGCTTATTAATTAAGCATGAATGTATGATAAAGCGTCATTGTCCTTATTAAACTACACTGTAGTGTTGTGGAAATGATCAATGTCCCAGTGAAGGTCACTTAAAATAGTGCATATGCTTAATCTTCCTTATAAATATATAATTATGTAAGTCTAAAATCTGGAAAAAGATTTTAAAGTCTTCAGAACATACAATCGTTTCCTATGTTTTTATTCATATGCCTAATAATTTAACCACGATATGAAAATATGTGAGGATATCATGTAAGATGACTAAAGGATCATCTTAATGTACTTATTCTCTTTTTCATATAGTTGATAAATGAGGACTTAGGGATTATCTACATTAACATATACTCAATGTTTCATAGAAAATGTATGAGAGGATAATGTAAGATGAGCAGGGTATCATCTAGATGTACATATGAATTAGTTGTAATTGAACAGATATGACGGGTCTCATTAGATGACCAGGAGGTCTTTAAGATGTATAAACACTCTAGTTTTTAAAGATTTTATTGTTCTAAAAAGAACATGTTTGAGAAGATCACTTACAATGACCAAAATATCATAAAACCTTCCTTTGCTTTTGTTCTGATGGAATATATATGAGGGGATCATGTTAGCTGACAGTCGGACCATCTACATTATCTATATGTTTATACTCGTTAAGCGATCAGGGGATTATTTAGATGAACATTTGCTCTATTGTATGAGGGGATCGCGTACGATGACCAGGGGATCATTTAGATGTACATATAATATTATCGAATATCATGTATCATGTAATATCATATACTCTGTTTATTATCGAACATTTATAATTTGATTACAAAAGACGACCAGGGGATCATTTAGATTTACATATCAACTCTTTTTATCACGTAGCAGATGTGTTGGGATCAAGGTTAAATGACAGGGTATCTAGATGAACATACGCCCTATTTGATATGAAACCTGTATAATGGGATCGCGTTAGACGACCAGGGGATCATATAGATGTATATATACTATGATATAATATGGAGTTTGTATGGGGATCACTTAAGACAATCAGGGGATCATGTCGATGTACATTTACTCTATTCATTATATGGAGTATGTATGAGGGGATAACGTAAGACTATTAGATGACCATTAGATGTACATAGATTATTTCTATAACTGAAAAGGATATGTCGGGATAAGGTTAAAATTGAAGTTATTTAGGGGTTCAAGTTAGATGACCAAAGGATCATGCTCTTTTTTATCTTAGAATATGTATGAATGGTTCATGCAATGTGATATAGCAGTTCGTAACATAATTAATCTAGGAGAATATTTTTCATTTCAAAGTGATCATCCAAAACCCACTACATTATCCCCTCATCTTACCTAATCACCTCATATATGTTTTATAAGAACATGAGTGTTTATACATCTAAAAGACCTACTGGTCATCTAAAGTGACCCCTCATATTTGTTCCATTACAACTTATGTATATGTACATTTAGATGATCCCCTGCTTATCTTACATTATCCTCCCATACATCTTCCATAAATCTTCGGGACACTAATCATTTCCACTCTCTATAGTTTAATCAGGATGATAACGATTATCAGAAATTCGTGCTAAATTTATAGGCGGGGTTAACATGCTATCCGATGATTCAAATAATCGAATAAATATTTTTAAGTATTGGTACTATAAATATTGTAAATTATAAAAAATATGTTTTCAAATATAGAACATAATTATAGAAAATTATTGGCTTTTTTGCACACAAATATTTTTATGATGAACAAATATTCAGTAGGATTGAATAAATTTTATGGTATAGAATATAACATTAGAGTAATACAAGATAAATATTGGATATAGACCAAAAATAGATTTATTGAAATTTGCAACGTTTAACATGACATAGTTGAGAATTGAAACGTAAAAATAGTTTAACAAATGTTATCTCTAAATCTTAGCCATACCTATTTACGACTTATTTTTAAGTGTTTACGTGCAGATTTTGTCCTTCTTTTATACGATTTCAATAAACAATTGCATTGGGTATTTTTCAGTTTTAACAGGTATTTTGTTAATCATCGTCAGTAAACCGATAAAGCATTGACAGATGATGAAACATCTTCTTTTTCTCGTAAGGGGAATTTTTGTTAAACAGTTAATGTTATTAATATTGTTATCATCATGATATGTCGTATTATTATAATTATCATTAATACTATTATTATTATTTATTTTTGTTGTTGTTGTTCTTGTTGTTGTTGTTGGTCTTGTTGTTTTTGTCTTCTTCTTCTCCTTCTTCTTGTTGTTATTATTATTATTATTATTATCATTAGTATTTATTTTTATTTATTATTATTTTTTTATTATTATTATTTTTATTAATTATTATTATTATTATTATTACATGTATTATTATTAATTTTTATTACCATCGTCTTCTACTTAATTACATATCATCATCATCATCACCATCATCATCATTTTTATTATTATCATTATTATTATCTGTTTTTTTATATTATTATAACAAACTTATTTATAGTTCATACAATAATTATTATCATTAACAATTTCATAATTATCATCATCCTCTACAGTTATCATCATCGTCATTATCATTATCTTAATTCTGACAATACCATTTCGGGTTAGTTAATTGATTTGTTTCATAACCTCTGATCCCTTTCAAAATTCCATTTTATTTAGTTCCGTCCATTGTTTTCTCGTTTAGGGCACACGCATTTTTTTACTTGGGGACCATATGCCGCTTATCATGGAATGGCACTAACGTGTCACATTAAAGGTTCCATGATAACCGCCATATGAGCACATCTGCGGATGTTTCAAAATTCAAAATTGTACCAGTTCATGTTAAATTTAGTTTAATTCTGCTTAAGCCGGTGCTAGGGGGCGTGGACGGTATTTTGCACTTGACAGTACCGTCCATGAACAGGCGCTTTCAAACCAAGCCTGCAATCTTCTCAATTTTGCCTTGCTAGGCTTTCTTTAGGGATTCTTATTTTCTCTAACTTATAGCAACATCGGCGTTGTTTTTGCTGTGTGGAGGCTGTAAAAGGTCGCCCCGTACATTCAATGAGAAATGTTATATTTCCGATCCTTAAAGATCGTTCAGCACGACATTATTGTTGTGCTTGTGGTAATTTAGTTCTTTCTATTTGGCTATTTTCTTATTGGGTTGTTCCAGTATTATAATACTGTTTAATCACCCATAGGATATGTGGCCTGCTTTTTAAATTGTCTTTTGACGTTATATCTGTGATATGCAGGCATCATAACCTCTGATCCCCTTTCAAAATTCCATTTTATTTAGTTCAACCCATTGTTTTCTCGTTTAAGGCCCACGCATTTTTTTACTTGGGGACCATATGCCGCTTTTATGGAATAGCACTTACATGTCACATTGAAGGTTCCATGATAACCTCCATATGAGCACGTCTGCGGATGTTTCAAAATTCAATATTGTAAAAGTTCATGTTAAATGTTGAATTCTGTTTAAGCCGGTACTAAGGGGCGTGGACGGTAGTTTGCACTTGACAGTACCGTCCATGAACAGGCTCAATCAAACCGAGCCTGCAACATTTCAATTTTGCCGTGCTGGGCTTACTTTATGGATTCCTATTTACTCTATTTTTTTCAACATCCAGTTTTAACTTCATGTTAATGTATTGGGTCAATAAACAAATGACAAATGTGTGTAAACCACCTTTTTATATAAAGTTCATAGGTGCTATAAAGTAAGTGTAGGCATTCAGCATTCCTAATGAAAGCCTTATTTTTAATACTATATATTTACATTAAAAACGATACAGAAAATGAAAATTTTGAAATTGAATATTTCACAAATTTAGAAAAGAAATATACAGAAAAAATATACAGTAACTACATAAATATGTCATACTTCTGGATCACTCAAACAATCATTTCCTTATACAGAGAAAAGATCAGATTGTCTTACTAAAATGTTTATAAATTGATTCTACTATAAAAGAAAACGTAAGAAATATATTATTTTTTTATTTTCATTGTTCAATCACAAAGAAATTAAATGATGTGATTCTGGTCCCTTTAGATTCCAATTGCCTACACATATTGCACAACGTTTTAACACATATACTGACGGAAGAGATCTGCCCATAACGTCCCCTAATAAAATTGATTTAAAAGACTATATTGACTTAACAGGAAAACGATTTACTGTACAAAAATGACATTTTGACTTACCTGCAATATATCAAAATTTAGAAAAAGAAATGATGCAAATCTAATAAATCCAAACAAATTTTCACGTGATAAATATCACCAATATAAGGCGAATAAATCAGTGACAATTATAATAACAAATCTATGTTACAGTAGATATGTTTGTTTTTATGTCATAAAGATGATTTTTAAGAATGTTCTTACTTAATACATTTTACGTTACGAAACTAACAAGAAAAACACATCATGATGTAATGTCTACTTTTACATCTTAAGTCATAATGGGTTTCCCTGTAACAATGAATGGCTTACCCAGGATGTACATGTATGTAACTAATCTGTCAGATCTTCAAGATTATGAAAAGATATTTAGGTGCGTCGGTTATTAAGTTTCACGAACTTGTATCTTACCACCAGGTACATTCACATTTAATGAAAAATTTGATACACTCATGTAAATGTTCGTGAAGTTAGCCGGAGCATCCGGAACAGCCAGAACACATTTCTGTCTAGTCCAGCTACTCCGGCTAGCCGGAATCCAGTTCCGACTGAACAGGCTAACCAGAGACGTTACAATAAAACTTGTGCAAAAGATCATTGGTTTATTCCTTAGTGTAATTTCAAGTTACTTTTCACCTCTATCTCTGGTCTTAGCGGCTGTCCAGAATAACGAAAATCAAGGCTACTTAAGATGGAAAACATCCGAAGACGGATTCATGAATATTCGTGTCCTGCAAGGTGTGACCGTGTGACTGCTGATATAGTGTGTCCGTCGGGAATACTCTTGTATTTTGCGGACGTTGAGTCGAAAATCGTACTATAAATGGTAACTTAAGCTCATATCTCACCAATTTCGGCTAGCACGTTTCAGGCCAAACCTAAATTCCGCAAAACCCCATATGGCGGTAAAGTAAGGGGTGTGATAGTGTGTCCGGTAGTATAGGTAGTCCGTCATGTAAACTCTGGGTTTTTGTCGGACATTGAACAGAAAATTGAACTATTTATTGTCATTTCAGCTCATATCTTGCCAATTTCCGGCTAGTCCCTGTGAGACCAAGCCTCGATTCCGCACAACCCCATTTATTGGGAAGGTAAGGGGTTCTGACTGTGTGTCCGCTGGTATAGGTGTTTCCGTCGGGAATACTCTGGTATTTTGCCGACAGTGAGCCGAAAATCGTACAATTGATGGTCATTTCAGCTAATATCTCGCTAGTTGTTGTGAGTCAAAGCCTCAATCCACAGAACCCCATATAGTCGGATGGTTAGAGGGTGTGACCGGGTATCCGCTAGTATAGCTGTGTCCGTCTGAAATACACTGTGTTTTTTTTTTGCAGATGTCGATTCGAGAATCGTTCTTTATATGGTCATTTCAACTCATATCTCGCCAATTCCGACTGGCCCTTGTGAGTGCCAGCCTCAATTCTGCAGAACCCCATATGGTGGGATGTGTCAGGGATCTGACTGTGTTTCGCTGGCATAGAAGTTTCCATCGGGTATACTCTGGTATTTGTCCGACGTGTAGCCAAGAATCGAACGGTAAATGGTCACCAAGGGACCAAAAAGACCAAGAGTGTAAAGATCCTATATGTTGTAATAGAGGTTTTACAACACACTAACATGAAATTATATATATATATAATATAATATAATAATGCTTCTTAAACAATTTTCAAACATCGAACAATATATATAATATGTTCAGCAAATATGCGTATATGTTATATGTAATCATGAAAATATATGCATTCATTTCTTATTGAAACATTTAAAAACATTTAACTTTTACATTTAAGTTACATTCATCAATTTTTATTACCTACCTTAGTTTACATGAAATGTTAAATTCTGCATAATCTTTACAAATAATGCTTTGGAACAGTCATACAAAATTTATAAATCTTAATTTGAGCGTCATAATTATGATATAAAACCATAAAAATTCGTGATACAGGATCTTTAATTCAATCAATGAAATAAAACGATAAAAAGAAAAAATACAAATAATAAAGTAAGCAGAGATGAAAATAAGTTAGAAAATGAAATGTTATTTAAAAAACAAGAACTTTCTGAACGTTATGAATATCGTGTAAATGGCTCTATTGTATAAACAAGAGCTATTTATGTAGAACATAACGAAACAAATAGTAAATTTTTTGCAAACTTAGAAAAAAGACAAACAGAGAAATGTGTTGTACGTTAATTAAAAGTAGAAAATAAAGAACAAAAATAGAAACAAAAGAAATATTAAAAGAAGAAAAATCATTTAATGAATGATTGTACAAACATAGAACTTCTCAAAGTTCAATTTTTAATACATATTATTAGACTATGATTACTCATTTGAAACTACAAGATTAACATGACTTCAATATCTCTTATTCCTTAACCGGATGAAGATCTTACAAATTAATCAAATTGGAGACGAAAAAGCTTGCTCAGCGTTGATTACAAACTTGCAACAAAAAACAATTTCAATTAGAATAAAAAAGTTCTTCAGTCTATTTTAAGCTTTAATGAAAAATCGATATATTAGTGAAAATGTAAGGTTAATATTTGAAATTATTGAACATCTGCAGAAAGAAAATAAACTGAGTTTACTGTTCTTTGCCAATCATGAAAATGCATTCGACAGTCTAAGCCATCCATTTAAATTTGATACACTGGATTTATTTTACTTTGGCAAAAATCTTATAAGATTTAAAAAAAAATACAGTGGTGTATCAAGTATAGTTATCAATAATGGACATTTTTCGGAGTCTTGTAACATAGAAAAGGAGGTTTGTCAGGGATGTCCATTATCATCTTCATTATTTATTTTATTTATAGAAATATTATCAAATTTCATAGAAAAAAGACCTTACTGTTATATCACTTTTCAGCTTAGAAAACCCATCAAATAATAAGATAAAATAAATATTTTAAGCAATGCTTGATAATATTATTAAACAATTAAAATCATACATGGAATGAAAAATGCCGAGTTTGTAAAATATAACATGCTTGTTAATAATATACCACAAGGATATCTTGATAAACTGAAATCTTCAAAAAATAATACCAAAGTACAAGATGCACGCCTTAATAAAGTTTTACAAATTTCAAAATATGTAAATAAGCTTTTATATAATATTCAGATTGAAAATTATGAAAAGTTCAAAAATAAAAATGAAGAGAAATAAGAAAAAAGAAATAGGAACTAGTACTGAATTGAATTGGCTGAATTAGTCGGCATAAAGTATATATGGTTCCATTAAAAAGTACTACAGATGTGACATTAAGAGTTTTTAATACAAATTTCTTCATATACTAATTCCAACTATTACAATGTTATTTAAATATAATCTTTGTTGTTCAAATCTGTTTGATTTTTTTGTTGTATTAATTTAGAAACGCTCTATCATCTGTTTGAGGAATGTACTATCATACAGAATGTATGGCCAAATTTACATTCTTTTCTCTAATCAATCAACATTGATTTCTGATATAATTTAGAAAAATTGTTTTTTCGAGAGTTTAAAAACAATATCAACAGTACTTTATTACAAAATATTTAGTACTTTACTAAATTATATCATCATACTAATGAAATACTTTATTGAGAATACAAATTGAAGAGGAATTTGCTTTTTTAAATGATAATGTTAAACGTTGGATCACACAAACAAAAAATAGTGGAATTACCTGTTTAACGCTCTAACCAACACACCAACAGTAAGGGAAAGCTGAAATACTTCAAAAGATAACTAATAGAAACTATTTCGCTTGTGCCTTTTTCCCCCTTTTTTCTGCTTTGTGTTTGTATGTACGTTTTTGTATGTATGTGAATGAATGAATGAATGAATGAATGAATGAATGAATGAATGAATGAATGAAAGAATGAATGAATGAATGAATGAATGAATGAATGAATGAATGAATGAAATATGGAGTGAGTGGATGCTCGTACTTTATAATTTTTTAAAATATAGGTATGACTTTTATATTAATGTGTATGTTTGTAGCGTTATACTTCAAATACGAAATAATTTTTAAAAAAATCTTTTGTCATATGTCTCCATTATATTACTCTGCCTTGTAAAGTTACAACTCAATAATTTTATAAAAAAAAATTGGCTGAGATCATCAATGACAAAACTGAAAACAATTACAGTTGTACAACTCAACATGAGCCAAAATATTTCAAGAACATCAAGATTGAAAAAATATTAAAATATTATTCTTATAACTGGCACTATGTTCGGTAAATTATACAAACGGTGATTTCAACATTTTTTAACAAAGAGCGCAAAATATTCATTATGTAGGTAATTAGTTTTTTATGTATTGCTTAGATATTTATTAATAATGGTATAATTTCATTTCATTTATATGCAAATCGGCTTTTTAAGTGCCTTTTACAATTTCACACATACTAAATATGGTCGGGACATACAGTTTACAAAAATAATACATTTATATCTACGCATTGTCATTTAATCTTTGAATAATAAATAACCACCGACTACCAAACATTAAGAAAATTTAAATATACAAAAATATCTTCGAAGCATTATTTTCAAGGGTTGAATTTCTCAATGTACAAGCTTCCCTTACAATTTTTACAGTTTAACAATGAACTATTGGACTGAAGGCCAAGCATTATTTGCAAAATGTATATGTCGTAAATCATAATATTTATTATTTATGTTATGTTATATATAAGCATAAAAATGTTACTAAGATATAACTGATTGTGATGAAGAAAGTGTGCAGATACGATTTTCTATTTTTTTTATCTACCTACTTCAATTTCAAGATAATGTGCTTATGTGTTTAATCTAGTATTGAGCTCTCTTTGTTTGCTATAAGTTAATATGTCTAAATATTTTTTCATAGCAAAAATTAAAATAAAATTGTTTTTGTATTCAAGTTTTACTATATTATGAAACTCCATTTTCCTGTGTGGATATAAGGATCTGATAACATTGGCTTCAAAATAATAAAAAAGTAACAGAAAGGAGTCAAACTTTAACCATATATCACTGAAACCTAAACTAACATGTAACGTTTAATTTTATTTGATCAATAATTTGCGTTCGGAAAATAATATTGCTCTACATCATTCATGAAAGGCCTAATAAAACAGAGACATAGATAGAAGAGATGGACAACGTCCTAGCCAGTTAAGATATCACATG